TGCGATTAGTCTCGAAGCGATTGGACGCCGAGGCATTCGAGCCCCGTCGCCAAAGGTATGCCCGATGCTTTAGACTGAAGATTTTTGCGAAAATCAGTATGTATCAAAAATAGCAAGAAAAGCACTGTTTGATGATACAACTATCTGCACAAGCCACACTAATACCGACTCAACTTGAATGCTCAGTCGTATCTCTGTCCATCTTACATCATACACAACCACTAAATTTTGAAAATGAACTAGGCCGTTATGCCGTTTATCAACTTGTGTTAGTGCAAAATAAAATATAGAGACTTACCAATTATCTGATTAATCACAGTTCACATCTCACTGATTTGAAGTCTAGAGAATTACAGTATGTATGCTGAGAGAATATACTGGTGAAAGTAAATATTTCATGTTTTGTGATATTGCATACATATGAAAAGTACACTGGTGGAGCTGTAAACAATCTTTCCTAAAACGTGCAAAAACAGAAAATTTCTTGCTTTTTTCGGCTTTGAATCACAGCTAACGCATCTCATGATAGCGAACTAACATTAAAGCTCTCATCATCGCCTTCTTAGTCATTTCCCGTCATTGGAAAGCATATGTAGCTTACTCATATACCTAAACATAGGAAAAGAATATGATTTCAGTAGAGATCGCAACCTTTAGGCCCGTTTAAATACTTGCGTCTACGTCTCTTCGTATCAGAAAGCACATTCTTTTCTCGCAAAGTGCATGCTTTTGCAGTACTTTCTCCTTGGTGTAAGTTTAAATAACTCTTTCCGATTTGTTATGGGCTCCTTTGTTCTTTTCAGGTGGCGCCAATAATCCCAGCACTGGATGGTGAGTTCAGTTACAAAGCGGAGGACTTTGAAACCAACTTTTAAAATGACAAAGCTCTACCAATAGAATCGAAAGTCATCCCTGATGGAGAATCACAAAACCTTGAGTTCATAGACACCATTTCGCAAGCAACACTTATAATTACCTATTATATGATTGTCGTAAGGTGCAGCTGATAGTTTTGAGCGGGTTTTCAATCAGGCGCGCCGGAATGTGATGGAGGTGCCATGGAAAGTACGGACATCAACGAAATTCTCAAGTATATCAACGAAAGACGTTCAACTGTCGTCCAAGGCAATCAGAGGAACGGACAAAGAAAGGATAATCTGCCAGCCGGAAAATACATGAATCAAATCGTAAGATACTTCCATATTCGAACTCTGATAAAAGTTCTAGGTGAGGAAGAATAACAGGAACATTTAATCAATCCTTTCGACTGTAGTTTAATACTAACACTCTAAAAATGTTTTCAGTACTGGAATTGTGATCTAGAAAAGGAAACCATGGAGTTTTCGACAGATGTCTGTGACTATCCCGAACAAACGCCCCAAAAAAGTCAAGCATACCATGCGTACGGTTACATAGACTTGCTTAATGCTTATTTATCTTTAACGGTTCTTGCGTGATTTGCGCGAAACATGCAGAATAGAAATAGCTTGTTATATACTGGACCAATTGTGAAAGCTTATTTGCAAGCGCTTGATTATGACTTGTACTCTGTTGATGGAGATGAATGTGCAATTGTTTAGAGACTATGACTATGATGGGGAAAAAGTACCTTCAGCATCGTCACTTGTGGAAACTTGGTTAGGCATGGTAGATAACAATGCTCTCACCGAATATGGAAATGGAGCAGTAAAATATTCCGAAGAATTAAATATGGCTGATTTCGTAAACGTAAGCCATTTTCAAAGCGCGTGATGTATGGATGCCAAGACATTACAGCTGATTAATCCAAAAACAACCGATATAGGATGTGCTTTTGGAAACTGTGTTATTGAAGACGGAGGAAGCAAGTACACATTCTACTGCCTAACTAATCAATCGTATGTTCGTGTTGCATGACTTTGGTATTATCCTACAAGAATGCCCTGCTGATAGGTAGACGGCATCGTCAGAAAAGGAATCCAGCGCTTAAGTCTATTCTAAAACTAGGGGCCCTTTATCTTCAGTTTTCCAAGATTACATGGAACTTTTAAAGCAAAACTATTCTCAAATTTCGCCTATTCCTCAGGCTCATGTATAGCCAATCCATCGCAGAGCGCACGACCTCGCTCTGCGTATGACGCCGATTATGCTATGATATATATTATATATATGCGAATTTCAGACCCATAAGAAAAGGTGACACTATCTACGAAAAGGGAAGCGGTGGTTGTGATGGTTGTCCCAAGGACACAAGTTGCAACCAGACCAGTAAGTT